GTTACACTCAATTAAGTTTCTTCGTTGCTTTTGAAAAATTTAAACTGTATTTAAAAAAAAAAAAAAGTGAGTACTAATTTTTTTAAAAATATTTGGATTATTAACAAAGTGGGCTCAGAATTTCTGCTACAAGTCTATAACACTATCGACAAAATCAAGTTTAAAGTTAAAACTAAACAATGGCAACCGTTTTCCAGATGTACCATACAACAAAATTCTTATTGATAAATCAAAATTTAATCAACAGAAAATCCCCCCTATAGTGTGTAGAATCTGTTGAGCCTGAGTGACAGTGACAGATAGGTGCGGAATCCTACTTGACAAAAAACACGCTTCATAGTTTGGTTTGGATAAAAAAATAATATTATGCTAAATCAATAATTTTGGAATCCTAATTGACAAAAAAATAATACTTCATATTTAGGTTTGGATAAAAAAATAATATTATGCTAAATCAATAATTTTAGATTCAGACATTACAAAAATATTTAAAGAATAACGGTGTAATTCCATAATCGTTTGACTAATATAACTCTTAAGTTGTATTGGAAATTAGAACCTTTGATAATGATATTGATTGACTAATATAACCAAAGACTTCTCACCTCTGCCTTGATCCCAAATCAAATCAAACCCTTAACAAAGGTTCATTAATCAAATTTTGCTATACTGCGCCCAGACATCGGAATTCTTTTAACATATAGCTGGCCACAGTATTTATAAAATTAAAGAAAAAAAAAAAAGTGCTTACTTATCTTTTGATAAGCTCACCATTTACATCTAATCAAGAAATTAATCAATCCTTAACCTTGCTAATCCCAGTGCGCTTAAACCCAGGAGGCATGATAATCTCTTCCTCATGCCCTGAAAAGTAATTTCTCACCTCTGCCTTGATCATGTTCTGCATCAGCGCAAGCAAATCAGGATCCAACGACGCCGTTTTCCTCTTCCCCTCCTCTTCGTCTTCCTCCGCCGTCGTCATCGACTGGCTGCTCTCTCCGCGGCTGTGGCGCCTCAAACACGCCTCCGGAGGCGGCGGCGGGTTGCTGCCGCCGGTCCCCGGCAAAGACAGAGTCAACGCGGTCAACTGGTCGCAATCCGTATCCTCCACAACAGCCGCCGATTCAGCCAGAGGCGGCGACGCCGGACGCTCCGCAAACGAGTTCTGGTTCACCGGAAAGAAGATGTTCACATTCTCCTCGGAGCCGCCGCCGTCGCCGGATTCCGACCGAGATAGGCTCTCCGGGCTCGAACTCAACCGACGGATCATCGCCGCGGAGACGTCGCCGCTTTCCGATCTCCTCAGAACCTGCGTCGGCCGCGCCTCGCCGTCCCCGCCGCCGCCGCCTGCGAGCCGCCGCTTCAGCGTCGAATTCCAGTGGTTTTTAATCGCGTTGTCCGTGCGCCCGCTGAGCAGTCTTGCGATCTTCGCCCAACGGTTGCCGTGCTCAGCGTGCGCCCTTAGGATGATCCCGTCCTCCTCCGCCGTGAACGGCCGGTGCTCCACCACCGGCGAGAGCTGGTTGCACCACCGGAGGCGGCATGATTTCCCAGATCTCCCTGGAATCGACTGGCTTATCAGCGACCAATTCTTCGCTCCGTTGCTATTAACGAGCCTCCGCAGCAGCTCGTCTTCCTCCGGGCTCCACGGCCCCTTGATCTTGCTCGGACCTCCGTCCCCTGCAGCCATGGTGAACCACCGGCGAAAACGCTAACCCCTCACCTAAATTAAATCTTTATATATATATATATTGATTGATTGATATATGATGATCTGTACGTATATATATCTACAGGGTAGTGGAAATGGAGCGGTATGTGGGTGGGGGTAACCGAAAGAGCCGGTTAAGATGGAGATGGGGGATCGTTACGGTTACCGGTTACAGTAGGTGGGCAGTTGAGGGGGAAGGACACGTGTGGGGATGGAGGAGGTTTTGAATTTGAACTGTCACGCTGGTGGGCCGTTATGCGTACCTATATGGACTCGTGCCGTTATGGACATTGCTTTATTTAATTTAATTTAATTACTAGTAGTATTTAATGGCGGCGGGTTTTAGTTTTTGTAGGCCGTTGGGATATTATTCTTGTTGCTGTACTGGATATGTTCGACGCGGAGGTTATTAGGACTTAGGATAACTAATTCCGAAATTCGAAATTTTTTTATTAAAAAAAAAAAATTATCGACTGGTAAATTGATGAGCTTATTTGTAAATTTTCACATGCTTCCTTTGAACCATCTATAAGACTATGTTTGATAAATTTAATTGTTAAATTAGTTGATAGTTTATAAATTAATTTCAAGCTTATAATAAATACGTTATGATTTATTACGGATAAACTTAGAGGTGACTACGAGCCGCCCGGAGTGCTGACTCGTCACGGACTCGAACCGGATTTTAACAGGTCCGATTTAGGGTCGTGGATTTCATAACCCTGGCCCGACGGGCCTGAGCCGCAATGTTTCTTTTATCTTTTTTAATTTTTTATTAATTATTAGACGGGTTGACCCAGGACCAGGATCGGATAGACGTTCAAAAGATTCTTTTCAACGATCATTTTTATTTTTTTATATTCGCATGTGACTCGGGTCAAACCAGCAGTCAGAATTAGACCGTTTGCTAAGGATGACAATGATCCAGGTCGGGCTAGATACCTGTCGTCTGCAAACCCGGAATTGGCCTGCATGTTTGCCCTTTGGACCCGACCTGCCCAGCGACTCGCGACGGGTTGTTGGACCCGTATGATAAAGAATCATGTATCTTGTTCCAGTTTATGTATAAACGCGCACTAACAACATTCGTTTAGACACGATAATTTGTGATAAAACCCGCATAATCTGCCTAGTTCTAACAGGAGAAGGTGGTGCTCAAGACGAGCTTTTCGAAATTTTATTATTTGCATAATGAAATTGAACGAGTACATAGGCTTATTTATAGAAGAGAACATCTAAGCCTATGTGAAATAGAAATACTAAATCTAAGGAAAGAAATACTAATGCACATGCTTATTTGCAACTACTAGGAAACTATAAACTAGAAAAAAGAATATTAATAGGACTCCAAGATCAGCCCCAGCCTTCTAGAAGACTTGCTCTCCAAGCATCTCTAGGTCACTTGTCATTATTCGACCAGCGAGGCTTGCTGGGGTCGCCATGCATACGCGTGTGTAGCCTAGCGACGCGTCCCCTCGCCCATGCGCGGTTTATTCAGGCCTGCCATGCGCGTGTTCGCCAGGTCGTCTCACGCTCTCGAACAGTTGCTCGTGCTCCCCCGTCCATGTGACCCACATTTGTTTGCTCGTTGCTTGTCTCACCTGCGTGCTCGTCAGCGGCCCACTTGAATAGGTTTCGGTTGTTTCGGGTGGTGTAGTACCTCCTTGCACAGTCCTATCGAGCCTCACGACCCGTCCTGCGTTCCCTTGCCCGACGTGAGGCTTCCTCGGTAATCGGTCGAGACGGGTCGGAGATCATATCATCATCACCAGCCCTGACTCGATTCTGGGCGGGGCAGCCGCCCCGACCCGTCCTCTATGGCCAACCCGATTCAGGTCGACCCGCCTTGACATGTACCTGCTGCCACTCATATATTTTTTCCTTTTATTACTCCCATCATCACCTTAAACATTACACATTAAAAAGTAAATAAATAAATAAATAAATATGACTTTAAAGCTTTAGCTTTAATAGCACTCACAAGCAATCTTAATATTAAAAATACAACAATCCAGCAAACATAATAAGTCTTACAATTCAAAAATCAAAATGTAAAGATCTAAGTATGCCAAACAACCTAAACCATGAAAATTAAAAATACCACATTGGTTTTTCAACATCAACCACTTTTATAAATTCAACAAAACCCATCGACAAACAACATCAACCACTTTTATAAATCCAACATCAACCACTTCTATAATATAATCTTCCCAATGCACCTTCATACAAAAATAAAAAGGAAAAAGTTTATGCCAAACCCATGTTATCATAATCATACACAATTAAAAATGTAACTAAAAGAGAACGATATATTTACTAAAACCCCATAATCAAATATCCTCATCATCGAATCATAAAACACCATTGCATGTTTTACAAGTGATGTATTCCTACATTTATAGAAAAAGAAAAACGAAAGTAACATTTGTAGTCAAAAGAAACTTAGCGTATAAAAAATTAACTATTAACTTAAATTGATGTATAAATAAAAATGTTTACCTTTATCTCTTCTCACATTTGGATACAGCAGGACACGGCTGTTGTTGCCACTCTCTTGACCGCAGGCCACTAGGGCTCGTGGCAAATTCAGCATTCGCTCATGCGCATAAGATCCACACTTCAGTTGGTCCGCTACCGGATCTCGCACATCTTCCGCAAGGAGAACCAACCCGTTGACTTCCTCGCTTGCATCGATGCCTCCACACCTTAGAGGCGCATTTTTCATCCAGACGACGCTCCTCTCCGCCTTCCTACCTTTGTACGAATGGACCAAATGAGCTATCAATTGTTCAGGTTTGGGTAGTCTTTTTATAGTGTTGTGTGTTTTTTGCCCACTCGTAGGGCAGATTGCTAGCCTGAGCACCTGTCAACCCTTGCTCGCATTTTTTCGCTATGTTCACGGCCTAGCTGTACCTACCGTCTTTTTTGGTTGTTGTTTTATTTTTTATTTTTTATTATTTTTTTAATTTTGTTTTTTGTTATTTGGACGTGTAGACTTGTGATTCTGCAGCCCTTTTAGGGTCTTAGCTATATACAGGTTGGGGTCCGACCTTAATCCTCTACCATTCTGGGGTTTTTTTTTCCAAAAATTAATAAATAAATAAACAAATAAAAATGTTTACCTTGGTCGCTTAAAATCCAATTTTGTGCACACATCAACGCCTCAATAGTCTTATGATGAAGTCTACTACCATGAGGGCTAATCAATCGTCCACTTATACTAAAAGCGGACTCCGAAGCAGCCGTAGAGACGGGAATTGGTAAAACATCATGAGCAATTTGATGCAAATTTAGAGACTTGGTCTCATTAGACTTCCACCAACTCAAAACATCAAAGTTAGGAATCCGTGCTAAAACATCATTATCCAAATACGTATCCAACTCCGATTTTGCATATTTCATTATTCGTTTAGAGGCGTACAAATCGTATTCACTTATTGACTGATCATTACAAACATTAAGATCAATCAAGCCACTTGTATCACCACCTCTACCACCCTTCCCCTTAGCCTTATATTGACGGAGCAACTCACAACACATATCAAGAAACTCCTTAACCTCATACTCACCACTAGTACAATAAATTTGTGAAAAATAGTATTCAAACATAACTTACTTGTACCTAGGATCAAGCATGGTTGCCACCCCAACGGACCAGTAACTATTAAATTTACCCCCACAATTCCCAAGCCATTGACTCAACCACATCGATACCACAAGTAACCCAAGCATTCAAAGCAAGTTTGATCTCACAAATCTTTGAAAAATACAAATTTGCAGTGTGTATTCAGTAACAGAAACAACTCAGTCGCCTTATAAAATAAGCTCAATCTCCCACAAATTTCCTTTGCTAAGTGCCAATCCTTTACTAGGCGAATAATCATATTTTGCGTCGCGAACACTTAAGAGGGCAAACACAACTTTATAATCTAACGCAATTTGTATTACTCAAATAGGTGGAGTTCCACGAGTTTTGCGATCAATTGTAAGCTTCTTACCAAGTGTCACGGAAGCGCAGTGAGAAGACAAAGGTCGATGCCGGAGCCCGAAACCCAGAAAAGTAATTTGTACAATAATTATATAAAATTACATTTTGAATACAAATTAATGTCATAAATGTTATAATATAAGCAAGTGAAATGAACTACTATGCACAAATAGTGACATTTCACTATTTGAAGGTATGTGAATAGTAAATGTTGTATGGGTATGAATTATTTGTGTGCAATGGTTTCGGTAGAACTTTACCTATAAAAGGCACTCCAAATGTAGAGAAAAATACACATTGAAAAGAAAGAAAGAAGAAATAAAATATTGAGTATAATTTCTATCCGGTTTTCATTTTGTAGTCTTTATCTTTTCAGTTTTTATAACTATAAATACAATTTTTTTTTTTTTTTTTTT